CTAATATGCATACTAATATTTATGCTAATACTATTTCTGATACGAAATTCAAGAGTAATACTAATACAAATATTCCTGCGAATACAAATCATCATATCCATACGAGTATTAACACTAATACTGTTATCAAAACTAATGCCAATATATATACTAATATTAATATGAATATGGCTACTACTACTCCTACAAATACTAATACGCATACTCTTATGGACTTATGGTTGCTAACAATAATATCATTGCCAATACTACTACTGACATTGATCCCTCGAGCATATTAGTATTCATACGAATATTGACACCTATATTAAGGCTAATACGGGTATGCATCATACCAACATAAATATTAACATTCATACCCCCGCGAATACCAATAACCATATTCATATCGTGGGGATATCATAATATACAAGTATACTGATATATTTATAAGATTAATATACTAATATAGTCGTATACAAGTATACTAATATACTCCTGTACTAATGTACGAATACACTAGCAAATTTATATAGAATATACTAACATACTAATATACCAACATACTACTGTATTCATGCACCAGCGTACTAATTCATTTATATACTAATATACAAGTATACAAACATACTACTATACTAATGTATGAATATACTGATATGCTAATATGCTAACATACGAATATTGTTACCATATTGATATAGCTGTAAGTTATGAGGTTAATATCCTATCAGAGTCGTATATAAACTTACTGGAATACTAATATACTAATGTACTGAAAAACACATGCATTTATGTACGAATATACGAACATACTCATTGACCAATATACTCATGTACTCATGCACCAATGTACTTATCTATCAATATATTAATATACAAGTATACAAAATACTATACCAACATATTAATGTATTGGTATTAGTAACGTACATAAACACACATACAACTACATTTAAATACAAGTATATGAACGCACTCATGTACAAATATGCTAACCAAAACCAAATACCCATATACCAATATACAAATATATTACTATGAAACCTATGAATATACTAATGTATTCATATACTAGTATAAGCAATCTACGAATACTGTACTATACAATACACTGATATGGACTTATAAGTTGTTAGATTAATATATTAACATTGTCGTATATAAACATACTAGTATATTGGTATATTAGTATACTAATATGCGAGTAAACGAAAACTGTAATGTGTAAAAAAACTGATATGTTAATATATTACTATACCAACATATTGCTACATATTTATGTACTGATAGATTAATATACAAATATAGTCGTATATAAATATACCGGCATACTAATATACGAACGTACTAATATACTGATATATTCATATACGAATATACCAATAGACTAATATACTAATATACTGATATACCAATATACTAATGTACTCCTGCACCAATGTACTACTAGATTAATATACGAAAAAGTACAGAAACATGCTACTTCTAGACTAAATATACTAATGCACGGATATATTAATTTGTTAATACACGAATTTATTGGTATACTAACATATCAAAACTCGTTCTAATATTAATACTACTAATGCTAGTACTTCTGCGAATATTAAAACTAATATTAAAACCAACATTAAGACTGACTAATACTAATATGCACGAACACGAACATGAACACTAAGACTAACAGTGAAGTTTACTTACCAATACTGATGTTAATACGCATATTTAATACTAATACTAATACTGATACTGATACCAGACTAATACTATTACTAAGATCAATACTACCAGCTACCACAAAACTATTTTCCTAGTATTAACACTGATAGAAGAATTAAGACTACTACAAACAGTAATAGTGGTGCTAAGGTTAGAACTAAGCACAAGACTGAGTCAAGACCAGCATTAAGACTAAGACAAAGATTAGGACTTGGGGCTTTGCATGAACGTGTAGACATTTCCAAAATTGCCAAACACCTTGAAAGTTGTAAACATGGCAAACAATCCAAGAATTTTAAAGAATTCCAAACAAATTCTAAAATTTCCAAAAATCTATGCCCTGTCTGGCAGAGTCGGTCCGTAACATTGGGGGGAGAGTTAAAAGCAATTTGGAAACTCTGGAAAGAAAGGGGGAAGGGAATTTTGGAAACTTTTGAAACTTTGGAAATGAGTTTGGGCGAGCTGATTGTCCCCATCCGTTGACAATGATGACTGGGGACGGACACCGCCCTTCCCCTTCCCCACGACGGTCTGTCATGGGTGAGCATATATATATATATACATAGAATATACAGTATATATATATATATAGATATACATGTAATATACATTGTATATGTATGTATGTATGTATGTATGTATGTATGTATGTATGTATGTATGTATGTATGTTTATATATGGGCACCCCTTGAGGTTGAACGTGTGCACCAGCATTGATCTCTGGCTGTCCGAGTTGACAGCCATGTTTGGCTCAAGGCTAGCATGCAGCTAGCCAGCTAGTTCATTGTTCGTCGCATACATCTACTCGAAGACTCGAAGAATCAAACCAGAAGCATTCTATGGCCGGCTCCTTAGTGCCGTGCCGAGCGACTCGACTGCATGTGAAGCCGGCGCCAGTGAGGCACCGAGACGCTCGGTATCCTGGCTTCTCTTGGCGGCGAATCTCCATCTAACCGCTGGACGTGGTATTACCATCACTCCTAGCTCCATCTCAGATTCTTGGCTTCAAGTCACGGCATGCACGGGTTTGGGAGACAACTTCTGCCAAGTTTAGCCGGGGTGGTCTGCAAACGTAGAAGCATCAGCCAAGGCCAAAAAGCAGACGCAGCTCACCTTCACAGGACGACCCAGCTTGCAATGCTGTAGCAGTGAGGCGCCAACTTACCCGATCGATTGGCATTTGCCAGGAGCCAAGAATGGCGACAAAGTGTTCTTTACCAAAGCCGAATGCTCTGCTGTGACGGAACCTTCGCTTGGCAAGGAAGCTTGCGACTGCCAGCTGCCACATGCTGCCACAAAGAGCTCCGTTGCTGACATGGAAGACTAAGGATGATGCCGCTGCTGTGATCAAGAACGGCAGAGCAGCAATCACCGTTGCCGAGGCTCCAGTCCAGGGAACTCCGCGGGCGGGGTCTTCTCCCGCTCATGAATCCTCAAGTGACTCAAGTCTGTGACCGTCTGTGGACTTCAGATTCAGGAAGCGAGCGGCCTGAAGCTTTGCCTGAAGCCGGCGGGTGGTGCAATCGCCGAGCAGGCAGTTGGCGAAGGGACGGGCGTTGTTTTTACACAAGTCGGTTGACATGTTGCCGAGGCTGGAGTTAGCTTGAATGTCATCAAACCCACTCCGCCCTCGGTTGTGGAATCGGTCAGTCTTCCACTCAGGCATCGAACAGCAGTGCGAAAGTCACATGAGCGTTGCAGCACCCAGAAGTCGGATTCCTTCCCACACAGTGAGCTGCGGAGTCATATTAGTGAGTGTGATATAGTGTGATGACACACAGCACATACTCTGGCATGTCAGCTCAGAACAGATGACTTGCCTTTTTGACGTCGGAAGCCTCGCCCTTGCGGATATGCAATGATTATCTCTAGATAGGTTCAGAGTTCATTCAAGCTCCTGTCCTTGATTTCAGCCTCAGTTGCAAGACTTACCAGAGTCTTGATCAAAATACTTCGGTGCACGTGCGTTCGTGTATGTGTGGGTTTTGCTGCGGCTTGAGGTCGCAGCTCCATCACCCGAGGGGTCACGACATCGGTGACGCTGAAGGGAGCGGAGGCCAATGCAAAAGCAGTCTTTGTCCCCGTTGAAAAGGCCTTCTGGCTGAAACTGGGAAGTGTTTTTTTCGGCATGTGAGCTGTTTCTCTTGTCCTGCCATCTCATGCGCATGAGCTTTGCATGCCAAGGATTGCAGTGACGCATCTCCCAAAGCAGTTTTGAATGTGGACGGGAAAGGTTCCTTCACCATCCCCACCGCAGGCCGGAAGCCCGCAGAAAGCGGTGACGAGTTATCGATTGACACGCTTCCTTGCTGAGAGTACGGGCCGTGCGCGTCCAGGCAAGACCGGAGAGTATAAGCTTTGCTACCAGTCTCCTGGTGGGAGCGATTCAGTGCAGCAGACGGCGGCCAAGGGTGTCGTGAAGCTGCAGGCAGGCTGTGCCGGAGCACTTTGTGTTGCTTGCTTCTTGCAATCACGGCTTGGTACGTTGGACAGACACTGCGGTCAGCAAAAAGATCAGAAAACGAACAGGACCATGCGCACCAGTGAACTGCAGCATCGGAGGCACACGACCAGAACTTGTGTGAGAAGGGCATAACACCAATCAAACACTCTTGATGTAAAGGGGACGGGACATCACGATAAAACTGGACTCTAGAGTCTAGGAATACAGCTAGATTTTCAAGTCTTCCTTGTCTAAGTGAGTAAGTTCTCTTCAACTTGTTTGTTTCATCATTGGCCTGCCAGCTATGTGCTTAAAAGACTGGTTCTTACAACTCTCATGCCGATGGCTCTTCATCTCCGCAGCATACCGAACATGGACGCACGTAGCCTTTGGTTGTCTTTGTTGGGTGTCTTGTTATGGTGCGAAGGTTCAAGAGTCTGCTACAACAAGCCAGGATGAAATCACGGACACTTGGCTGGTTCGCTTGTTGGGTGGCATCGTTTTGTTCTGCAATGTCACAAATTTCTGACTTATTTGCTTGGTCGCACTGTGATGCTCAGGGCATCTCACCAAGCCTGATCACGGTGAACGTGCCGACCGTGGTGTCCTTCACCGGCGCTGCGACAGGGGACAAAGCGGCTGCTCGTCACCTATTGACGGTACAGACGCACTCGTCTTTGTGTGTCGCTCTCATGGGTCAGAGCAAGACTTTGAGGTTTTTGTGCACTCGGCATCTTCGGACTGTGCAGCGGTCACGCCCGAGAAAGATGTTGGCGCTGGACATGCGATGTTCACCATCACGACGGCAGGCTGGGTCAGTTTTTCATGTGTTTGCGGCTTTTGGCCTTGACAGAGGGAGCTTGTGCAATGGACTGTCAGGTGAGTACACCTTGTGCTATCGATCTGCGGGTGCACAGGATTCTGTTGCCCAGAATGGAGAAGGGGTGAAACTGCAGGCCGGAGCGGTGTTGGACATGCCCAGCATGGGACCTGAGGTATTATAAATTTATCTTCGTTTTGTGTGGCACTTGCTTTATCTTTTGAGACTATCGCTGTTGCATTTATGGTACTGTTTGTGCTGCTGTGACTGTCATCATCGACATTGCCGTTGCGCCAACAGAACTACGCTTCCCGTTGCTTGAACGATTACTCTCACGATTGCCGCGCCATCCTTCCCGTTGCATTGACAGGCTTGCTGGTAAGTTTTTGTTATTGAAGTTTTCGTCATTCTGGACGTCGTGATGGTTGATATCCAGTAGACCCTTAATAGGCCTTGAAGTATCTATGCTAATCTGCCTCTGGTTGTTGCATGCTACCTTCTTCATCGTAATGATTTGTTTCGCTTGTTTAAGGGACATAGTGCTGATTGAGTTCGACATGTTCATGTGTCATGTACCAGTACTCATGGTCTTAGTGGACTAGGCCTCCGCCTTGCTCCGCCAATGTCCTGTACTTCGTTGCGTATAACGCAATGCTGACTAACATCATATCTGTGATTGTGGCAATAGCGTTTCTTTAACTCTTCGTTGTTTTGGCACCATTCTTAGTTTCTTACTGCCGTGTCTCCTGATGTTGTGGTGGTGCGTTGGTCTTCGTTGTTATCGATGTCGTTGCATCGATGTTATTCTTTTGTTGCTGCTGGTGTGTGTGGCAGTCTCAAGGTTTTGCTCGTACGAGTACCGTGGCTCATGATTGTCTGTTCTGCTGGTAGGCTGTGATGATAGCGAAGACAAGTCCTGTCTGACAAGAATCATTACAGGTCAAAGCGCCTGGCGTCACCAAAGAGATGGTTGGGCGCTGGCAGAGCAAGGAGGGACAGCTGGATTGCACGTCGCTGACATACGTGCCTTACTGCGGTGTATCGCAAGAAGAGAAATGCAGCTTGGATCTGAGGATATCTAGACTTGCATACGCCCTGATAGCTGCGGAGATAGGTTTGGGTTCGGTACTCACTCCTGACTCCTGACCGACTCTAAGGCAGCCGAACGTACATGGTCCAGTCTGGTATCGGAGTCTTGACGGTAATAGACTGATACTAAGTTACTAAGAGAAGCAGAGTTCCTCGTGCAACTTATGCAGTGAACATGAGCGTTCTGGCACTGTGCGACTGTTCTCAGGTTACAAGTGTAGTTGGAATCTTCAAGCATGGCCTCCAAAATGCACGGTCGAGTCTGCAACAGATGTTGCAAAAATCTGCATGTCGGGAAGATGCGCAAATGACGCTTGTTGGTGAATCTCTCCACCACTATGCCTTCGAAGTCACTCATCAGCATAGAGACACCGCTACACTCTGTGCGGTTGGAACGTTTGAGTCAGCTCGCTCTGAGGCGAAAACAAATGGATATTGAACAAGCTGAGCAATGCAAAACTGCAATGCCCCGGGTTGGATTGCTGAGTCAGTTTGTGGCGTAGCCAGCCTTTTACTCAATTTGCTGCATCTCTTATGGCTCCCGTGTGCAAAAAGCTGTGAGATCCTGCTTCCAGCCCCGTTGAGCACGCTGTATTTCAATTGTGGCATCTTTGAATCGGCAGAAGCTGCGTTCATCAGCCATTTCTCTCACTTTAGCACAGGGCATCTTTGGTAGTTCTTGGTAGAAGAGGATGGCGCAGACTTTTGCGGATGATCATAAGATTGATGAGCTGGTTGAGAAAGTCCCGGCAGGCGAGCTCTTCTATTTCGGTCCCTTTCTCTCTCTCTCTCTCTCTCGGTGTCTGGCTCCCTTCTCTCGCTCTCCTTTCTCGAGTCCTGAGCGTTCTCCGCGTGATCGTGATACATCCTCCTGTCCTAACCACCCGAAGGAGATTTGTGTCCGATTTGTGTCCCCAGATCCTGCATCTAGGGTACCCAGTAATACGCAGCATAAATGCATTGAGAGGTTGGTTTTCCTTCGAGTACTTCCCGCCGAAGACCGCGGAGGGTGTCGAAAACCTGCGCAAGCGGATTGTGAAGATGAAGGCCTTAGCACAACTTGTAGCTGCTTTGTAGCTCGTAAAACGGTGCCTTGATTCTCAGCCCTTGTGAGGCCCTGGGCCCTCTGTTCACGGACTTCACTTGGGGAGCTGGTGGCTCAACATCGGAGCTTACCTTGAAGCTCACTTCGGCTGCCAAGAACGAGTTTGGCACCGTTGCCAACATGCACTTGACCTGCACGAACCAGAGCTCCGAGATGACGGAGAACGCTTTGAAGGAGTGCAAGCAGCTGGGAGTGCGCAACATCGTTGCCCTCAGGGGTGACCCTCCCCGAGGTCAGGAGAAGTGGACGGCCACCGAAGGTGGCTTCAGCAGCGCTCTGGATCTGGTCAAGTTCATCAGGAAGCACTTCGGCGACTACTTCTCAATTTCCGTAGCAGGCTACCCTGAAGGGCACCCCGACAACATTGAGACGGTTGAAGGCGGGGTGGCAGCTCTGACCGAGTCCGAAAAGCGAAGGGCGCGGGTGGTGAAGGATGCCTCCGGCAAAGAGACTGTGACCGTCTGCCGCGACGCGAATTTCCACAAGGAGATGGTGTACCTGGATCGGCCGAGCCTTATAAATTGTCTCTGAGCTTTGTGTGTAAGGTGGCTCAGGTTAGTCAGAAGGACAAGAGATGAATACCAGCGTTTTGATTTCCAAGGTATCTGAAGGAGAAGGTCGATGCCGGTGCCCGCTTCGTCATTACTCAGATGTTCCTGGATGCCCAGGCTCCCAAGCTCAATAGCACTAAGACACTAAGAGTCGCTGGTATCGAAGTTGGGCATGGCAGCGCCTACTAGAATAGACCAAGTCGCAGCGATGTCTGCATCTATGACGAAGCAAGAGAAACTTATTCGTCAAAGACCAGCCATCTCACCAGGCACGGAGAGTGCCAGCCAGAGTCGAATTCGGGTCGGACTGATCTAACAGATGCAGCTAGAGAGCCAGGGTAGAATTCCCACCTGAGCAGGCCGCGATTTCGCTCGACAGAATAGCTGTCCCCTAAAGCTGCTGCACAGTCTCGCCAAGTCCCGAACGTTGGGCTGCAGACCCAGAAAGAGCCCGAGACGCGCGAGGACAATTGGACGTAGTCGTCTTTTGCGTACTATCTCTGCGACAGCCATTTGACCGGCCATGCTTCTTCTGCGTTCTGCTAAGGTTTTCCTGGAGTTCGTCAAGGAATGCCGTAAGTATGACATCAAGGTGCCGATCGTTCCTGGCATCATGTGTACTTGCCTCAGGCGTTCTATTGTCTGAGGGCTCTGCCCAGACGCCTTCTTGTGGTTCTTGGTCTTAGTACAGTCATGCTTCAGTAGTACTGTCCTCGCTGTTCCGGATGCTTCTTTGAGCCGAGCCGAGGCCTGAATGGTTTGGGTGGGCTGAAGCGGATGACGGAGCTTTGCAAGACGCGGGTGCCCGAGGGCCTCATGGAACGGGCGGAGAAGGCCAACACCTCCGATGAGGCTTTCAAGGATTCCTGATCCGAGTCTGTTCCCAGAGTGCGAATCTAGTTGCAGGCTTCTGCTTTCGCGCCAGGAGTTTGGCATCCAGGAGGGCGTGGCCATGTGCAAGGCACTGCTGGAGGGTGGAGCGCCGGGTTTGCACTTCTACACCCTGAACCTGGAGAAAGTCGTCGTTGGTATTCTCAAGGGCCTGGGAAAGATCAGCGATGCCCAGGCAGCAGCCTTCCAGGCAGTCGAGGCGGATGCCAAATTCATGGTTTCGGCCCAAGGCATCACCACGGGCACAAAGGCCAACGGCAACCGGCCAGCACTGCCCGGCAACCGCCCGTTGGTGGAGGCAGACCCTGTGATGCACGAGCTGGTGCAGCAGGAGAAGGCCCGGCAGATGCGATGCATCGAGCTGATTGCCTCGGAGAACTTTACCTCGCGGGCTGTGATGGAGTGCCTTGGGTCGGCGCTGACCAACAAGTACTCCGAGGGTCAGCCGGGAAACCGCTACTACGGTGGCAACGAGGTCATTGACAAGGTGGAGAACCTGTGCAAAGCACGTGCACTGAAGGCATTCAGCCTTGATGAGAAGAATTGGGGTGTGAATGTCCAGCCGTACTCGGGAAGCCCAGCCAACTTCGCTGTCTACACTGCGTTGCTCCCCCCTCATTCCCGTGTCATGGGCCTGGATCTGCCAAGTGGTGGACACTTGACGCATGGCTACTACACTGCCCGAAAGAAGATCTCAGTCACTCAGATCAGTTCATCAGACCTTTCAAAGAGCATAGGCAATAAGTTGACTGCCTTCATATAATGAAACACTCAGGCGACCTCGATCTACTTCGAGTCTTTGCCCTACCGTGTGCACCCAGAAACCGGACTTATCGATTTCGATGAGCTCCGCAAGACAGCCCTCGTCTTCCGACCTGCCATGATTCTCTGCGGAGCCTCTGCGTACCCTCGAATCATCGACTTTGGAAAGTTCCGCGAAATCGCAGACGAAGTTGGAGCGATCCTGATGGCAGGTCGGCCGGTTCCTCTTGCCCCGAACCTCCAACATCAGCTTGTCGGGAGTCACTTGTTTCAGTGAGTGAGTAAACCCTCATAATCCCTCATGTGTGTGATTACGTGTAAATGTTCTCGACCTTTGTACCCGACAGACATCGCCCACATCTCCGGGTTGGTCGCCACCGGCGAGCATCCGTCGCCCTTCGAGCACTGTGACGTCGTGACCACCACCACCCACAAGTCTCTGCGCGGACCACGGGCTGGAATGATCTTCTTCAAGTACACAGAGAAGATCCCCGACATCAAGGAGCGCATCGACATGGCCGTGTTCCCAGCCCTTCAAGGTGGTCCCCACAACCACCAGATCGGTGCCCTGGCCGCACAGCTCCTGGAGGTGGACACGCCCATGTTCAAGGACTACGCCAAAGCGGTGAAGGCGAATGCTAAGACGCTGGCAGAGACCCTTATGGGAAAGGGCCACAAGCTGGCCAGCGATGGCACGGACAATCACCTCTTGCTTTGGGACCTGCGCCCCCATGGCCTTACGGGCTCCAAGGTTGAGAAGATCTGCGAAGCGGCCTCCATCACCCTGAACCGCAACGCTGTGCACGGGGATGCCTCGGCGCTGTCGCCCGGAGGTGTCCGCGTGGGGGCCCCTGCCATGACCACCCGGGGCTGCACAGAGCAGGACTTCAGGAAGATCGGGGAATTCCTGGACCGCTGCTGCCAGATCGCCCTGAAAATCCAGGCGGAGAAGGGCAAGAAGCTCAAGGACTTCGAGGCTGCCATCCCAGGAAACTCCGAGGTCGCGTCCTTACTCCCCACTTTCATCCGACTTTCCTAAGTCTAAGTCTTTCCCCTCCGCAGCATTTCAAGTGTCTGACGCCTGGTTCTGGTTTTGGTTGCCATGTTTTGAGAGATTGTCAGCTTTCGTCACACTTTTCTTTCAACCTACTCCGCGTAGCGTCGACTTACACCAAGGTCACGGCACTGAAGAAGGAGGTGGAGGAGTGGGCGATCCGATTTGGCTACCCAGGGCTGTGAGAATTAGTTTAGTGATGCCTTCTGTGCCAAGTGCTTGCGCCTCTGAAACATCCCTTTTGTGACGGCAGCGTGGTTGGTCAGAGGTGGCACGGTCTGCCTGCTTGACAGCCGGATCCTGTTCGTCCATCAGAATCTCTCTGGAGTGTGGTGCAGTATTGGATAGTATTGGTGTGTTCAGTGGCAAGCTGTCGAGAGAGAGTTCTGAATGGTGGTTTTGGAAGGCCGCGACAATTCACGTACATACATAGAGCCGCGAAGCCGCAGGCTTGAACGTGGTGACATCCTTCCGTGCTAGCGTCTCGTTGGCTTAGCATGACCGCCCGCCCAAAAGGATCGGACGCTGTTCCCTGACGGCCTCACTGCCTCTGTATTTGCGCATCATGTTGCTGCTACTTGTTTTTGCAGGCTGCCCTTCCATGGCTGCCTCTGCGCGTGGGACAGGGTGAGCTGCCGGTGGTTTGGCTAGGCAACCGAAGCCGCCGCTGGCAGAGAGGGTTCGCACAGCAGCAGTATTCTCACACGTAGGTGCGAAAGGGCGCAACAGGCTGAGCTCGGTAGAAGTCGTTGAAAAGTCTTTGCTTGCATCTGCTGTGCATCAGCTGATCCAGCCGCTGCACTTCCTTCTCTGCACGGCAAGGTTATCCTTTGCTGTTTTCCGTTGTCCGGACAGGTTGGCAATCGTCTTTCTGGTGTAATCATGGATGAGCAGGCAGACTATGCATCTGGTTTCTTTTGGTGCAACGCTGCTCAATCGTCGTTTTCCTGACCTGCAGGCAGCAGTGTGTTGTCACGTAGTTGGTTTCTCCTGCTAGGCCATCCGGTGTGCGATGCAAGAAGCTGGCTTCGCAAGAGTAGAGGCTCTGCTAGCTTTGAATTTGTGCGGCAAGTGCCCTGTGCCCGAACCGAGGCGTTTTCTGGCATGTAGTGTGAACAAGTGAGCTTAGTTGCAAGTTGCTCATGTTTCGTCTGCTGCCCAGCAACGCCGAGTGCCTTTTCATGAAAGCAGTCCAAGCCTGCGCCATCCCGCAGGTTGAAAGTGCAGTCACGGCCGGGTTTGAGAAGCGCAACTTGTCCCGGGCTGTGACTCGTCGTTGCCTCGCATGGCATCTGGAAGTCCGATTCCGATTCAGGTCCCACAAGGGCGCTCTCGGAGGTCAATCTGCCTCTGCCGGCCTCTTCTCGGCAGCGAGCTTAATCTCAGCTCAGCAGCTTTCGAGGGCCCTGGAAGTCCGATCGCCCCTAGGTTCGCGGAGCTGTTTCTGTCGTCCTGGCCTCAGCTTCTGCGCAAAGGTTGCGCCAGCAGCGTGGAATGTGTGGACTGACAGATCAGCAGCACCAACTTCTTCACGGCCTCGCCAATGGGCGTTCGTGCTGGCCTAAGAGCAGTTGCCTTCCGCGAGTGCCCTTTGTTCATGGAGTCCTCGAGTCGTGCTGAGGTGATGGCGTGGACTACATGTATGCTGGCGTGATCCGCTCGATCAACCTCGACTTGCTGCAGCGCCAGCTTCAGGAGATGCAGTCGCATGCAGAGTGCAGTGCTAAGATTCTGACTGAGTTTTTTTGAGGACGGCGCGATCGTGTCAATGACCTCACTTGGCTCCAGCCCGGGAGGCGAAGTCTTTTATGTCTCATCTGAGGAGTCGTGGGCCCATCGTCTGGAGTACTCGGCGGGTTTTCGGCATGCTTTCCCTGTGGCAAGAGCAAAGCTTAGGTTGGCTGCCAAAGTGGCCAGCAGACTTCAAGCGATTAAGCTTGCACCGGCCTCACTTCAGATGAACTCTTTGTCTATGCTTTTGAAATCCAAGAGAGGTCTCACCATGATTGCAGGTCTACATAACCAGAGGGCAGTGCCTTGTGGACAAGCGGCAATCCCGGATCATTGCAGGCCGCCCTAGCTGTGTGGCCAGTGGTCCTAGCCCAGGTCCGTCTGTCTACCTGTGCCTTTTGTTATGTAGGCTTGGCCCAAGATACACTCGTTTCAGCCAGCAATCTTGTGCTGTCAGCAAAGACCGTCCTGATCCCTCAACCCCAAGCCCTAAGCCCCAGCACGAAACCCTAAACCTCCCTAAACAGCCCTAAACCTCTCAGTGCTACACACGAAGAGCGCGTGAGCGGTTCGGCTGCCAGTGCCAACAATGCCTGGCGTTGCCATGGCTCAGTGCCGCATTTGCCTTCAATCGGCAGATCAGGACTCGACCAGAAGAAGTCTCACTGTTTTCAGATGCCTTTTGAGAACAGGGCCGACCGAGCTTTGAAGTCAAGCTTGCATGTCGTGATGCTTGCTCTGACGCACGTGCTTACATCACCAGTAGCAGGCGCTTGGTGAGTTTATCAAGCCTTGTCGGTGCAAAGAGCCTGTTCACCGCAAGTGCCAGCATCTGAGCCGTCTTTGCCCATTGTCGAGCATCGTCCATTCCTGACCTTATCCCGGCTCCGAAGTCTTCCGGAGCACAGCCCAGGCCTGGATACCTGGCGGGCCTCGGGCATCAACCCGGCCAACATCACGCGCTGCACCTTGGAGCTGCACAGATCGCGTTGCACACCAAGTCGGTAGAACAGCGATGCAGCCCTGGCCCTAGCTGTGCTAAAGTAAGGTGAAGTCTGCCGCTGCCACAGCTGAGATCGGATCCACTTCCGAATTTCCTTGTTCTGCACACCCGAGCTGTGAGGCCAGTATCACTATCGCCTCGGCAGAGATGCCAGCCCGCGGCACGTTCACACGTTTGTGTATTCCATCGCCCTGGTTCAGAAACTCGGATTTTTCCCATTGTTTTGGAGGTATCCGAGCCGGCCCACTTCGTTTCAAGCGCAAGACCGCATCCAAGGATTTTGCTTTTTCTTGCTTTGTCCGTGGCCGCCGGCTTCATGATCAGAGCGACGAAACTCGCTGATCTGGTCAACTGGGGCAGGCTGCTTCCTGCACTCTGCTGCGATTGATCAGGACGTCTTACCCAATGCTGATGATGGTCTCCTCGACAAGAACTTACATCTCCTCTCTCGTTCTCTTCATGTGCACAGATCCGGGCATACAAAACACCCCGTTGCTGACTGTTCATCCCTATCTCCCTCCATAGTCTCCATCGGTTTCCCTCTTTAGCAGCTCTATTGTGATCCTCTGTCACCTTGTTTCTTCTTGACACTTTCACATTGTCCTGCTGCCTTCCTATACTCAGTACCCCCACCAGGGAAAACGTAGAAGCTCTTTGGATGTGGGCGACACGCCTCGATTTGAAGTTGTGTTGCGTAAATCCTCTTTGCAGGCGTCTCCCCAAAGCTCTCCTTTCGGCATTCTCTTTGTCCTTGTGAAGCAGATCATTCGAGGTACCGTCTTGTCATATCTATGGTGGTGACCCTTTTCTAATCATGTACATTTCCCCAAGGTTCGTTTGAAAATCGACATGCTGACAAGCCTGTTGATAGGATTGTCGGTTCTCCGTATTTTCCGCCGGTCTTGGCCCGTTGCCAAATAATGACCCACGTCTCTATTCAAGGCTGCCTTCAGAGTGGCTTTTGCTAACCCGCATCACCACCTATCCTGTACAGCACAAAACCTGCAATTCAATACTTTCCGGCTGTGTTGAGTCACCTGGAACTCTTCAGCCTGCTACCAGCAGGTATGTGAGGCGAGTAGGTCGACCGAGACGGGAATGGGTTTAGAAGTAGTGCTCTCAGTATTTTGACGGCCACTGCGAAGTAACCAGACTTGTACATGACCCCATTGTTTGGTATCGAACGGTGCGTCAAGCGGCGTATCCAGGTGTAACAGTAACGTGGTATTGCATGGTCCTGTTGCTGCACCGGCAGGCTCAGCTTCATGGTGCCAGCCTTCCCCTTGGTTCTGCCAGTGCATCCATTCCCCAACTGTCCCTCATGACTTTGTTCAGACTCATTGTGAACCTGGGATCGGAGATCTCAGGACACGGACAGAGGTTGGATCTTCCTCGGATGTTGCTTCAACTTCTTCTGCATTGGTGTTTTTGCCACCGCGGTGCTCCTGTACCGGCTGATACGAAGAAGGCAGGTCAGTGCAATAAGTTACTAAGAGGCCATACGGCCGGGTATCACTTGCGCCGTGATGCATCCTCAGGCGAAGCCCAGCCAAGTCCTTAGTTGGAGCAAGATGCAAGATAGGATGAGCAAGTCGGCTAGTCCGATTCTGCGGGAGGGTCGCGTCCTTCCTGCTCTCAGGCGCGACAAGCCGCACTGCAGGCATCTTCGCGACGCAGCACATGGCTTGATGACGCGCTGCGAACACGAAATCGGAGCCTCGTTGCAAAAAGGGTGCCTAGTTGTCTGAGATGAAACAACTGTGTTGATACCGGCCTCTTCGGAGTTACACACACCTCAGGCGACAGGACTGCTGCGGTGACTGCTGCTATACGACTGACGACTCATTGTGCTTGTGTCTCGGAGACAGATGGGGTGGCGGCTTAAGCCTTTGCAGGTTTTGTTCGTTGATTTGGGATTCTATGCAGCGCTGTCCATGAGCCGAAGTCTTGCAGGCTAGCGCTCTAGACGTCATGCATAAGACAAGCTGTTTCGCGATGTGCTCCGCAATATCGCGTCGTAAGCCGAGGTGGTGCTACTATTGCTGTTCGGGTCCAAATTGGTACTGTCCTCTGGAGGCCGGATGTTCATCCCTGCGTCACCTTTCCGGCTCCCGTGAACACGCCCCCTGCCAGGGCTGCTGCTACAACTGCGACATTGGAACCGCAAGATGCTTCGATGCTTGTGAATGCTGTAAAGGATCTGGTGGTGGAGGCGCACGCGTGTAACGCCTTCATGAGGTTTGTGCACCTCCACGCTACTTTCAGCGAGCATGCTCCAGCAAGCATAGAAGCCAGCCTGGAAGGCTTGTTTAGTTTTAAGTGATGTTTCGGCAGGGTAATCCTGCTGCTGAAAGCGGTTGTCGCAAGTCCCCTGCCGACCCGTCGAAACTGTTGTACATGATCGGGAAGCTCGACACATCATGACACATCGCCTCGGACAAACCACTTCCCTCGTAGGCATGCCGTGAAGGTTTGCATTGATCGGACCATCTTGACAGTAAGTCCCGTGTTGAAGCGCAAATGTTGCAAACCTACAGCTTGCCATGCGAAGCACCGACGCTGCGAGGGGACTCCCAGCCACGGAAATGGATCCCCGGAGTCTGAAAAGATCGAGGGCAGGAACGCCACGCCCACACCTCCCAAACCCACCAGCGTCCCCTGCCTGACGAAGACGAGCCGCTGGATCTCTCGTTCGAGTAGGTTGCTGGCCTGGGTTGTTATGCCTTGTTGTCTGTGGACCACAGCAGGAGCACTCAGAGTACAGCCTGAGTTCGGATCCACCAGCCTTGAATTTGGTTTTTTAAAGACCATGTCCGCTATCAAACATCAAAGTTATAAAGTTGCTTGCCACCGTTATCACCTGTTTTGTTGCAATGCCGGCTGTGCAGGAGGAGGTTGTGACTGTTGTGATTGCGGAAGCTGTGGCTGTGACGGAGCCCACTGCCCTCGAGCCAGTTGGTGGTTTGGTGCTGCATGATGTCAATAATGCTTCTATCACCGTCTTGATGCTCTATGCAGGAGATGCCGGCATTTTCGCTGTCATTCTGGGAGCGATTGCTGCAGCCTCTACCTCATTGGCCATCCGATGGAGTGATGTCGTTTCACGATTCGCAGCGGGCATGCCGCATTCACTGTACCAAGAGTCGGGTTGCTGGCGCACAAGTTGCTCTTGGATGCTCTTGGTGTTGCTGCTTTGCCATGCGGAGTAAGTGGTGTCGCTGTTGGGCGTGTTCGCAGGCATGCGCTGCTTGTCCAAAAGAGCTCGAGGTTGTGTCTCAACAGTCACGACTGCAGAGGTCCTGCGGAGGTCTTTTAATGTGCCTCTTGGCCAAGCGTCCCAACCGCCTTCGAAGTGGAACTCACTGCCGACAGAAGCAGGGGATACTCGAGCGATAAATTTCCGATACAAGCACCTGGCGCAGCAATGCTGAAGCCTCCGACCTTCAAGAAAAACGTTCAAGTAGCCGCAGTGCACACAGAAGACTCAAATCTTAGCTCGTAGACTCACGGCCGCAATTTGCTGAGTGATGACTGTGTGTCGCCAGAAACTGAAAACAAGCTGGAGCACGGCCGATGCAGTCGTCAGAGTGGTCGTCTCTGTGTTTGTGTCTGTGGTTTTGTTTTGTGTGTGTGTGTGTGTGCATGTGTGTGGGTATGTGTGTGGGTGTGTGTGTGTGTGTGTTTGCAGAAGCTTCGGGCCACTTGTTTGCATGCTTTGTTGTCATGATTGCTCCCCACGCAATAGAGGCTTTCCTAGTTGACCTTAGTTGTCCGCTGCTCGTAAGCTGAGGCAGTTGCAATTATTCTACTCGCGATTGGCATGTTCGTGTTTTTCTGGGTGATTTTCTACAATGTGCAGCTGGCCCAGTCCATCCCAAGTGCTTAGTTTACTGAGCGGTGTGCCATGTTTCGCGTAGACGGCTGAGCAGCTGGACAATGTCGCAAGCGGCTGAGGTTCAACGGAATTTTCATGAACCATTCCTTCCTGCACTCCGTGGCAGCTGAAAGGTCCAGAGCTAGTGATATGCAAGTCCACCAGCAATGGTGGATCGAGCTGATGTGAGCAGGTACCACGTTCTCCCCTATGATGTTGCATATGATACATCGATCCGAAAGACTGCCACGCCGGACGGATACATCAGCTTGCAGACTTGAGATTGCTGTTGTGGACCCTGCCTTCCCCCTTGGGCTTCTGTCGGAGGAGTCAGCATGGCCACTAGAGCCTGTGACGCCGCCGATTCAGCAGGCGGTCTCTGCTGGTTGAAGTGTTTGCTTGTCGGATGTGGTCGACGTGCACCACTGACAGGGCATGAACGATGTGGAAAACGCTAGAGTCGTGGGCAAGGTGGAGGCAGAAACGATAGCCTAAGCAGCCAGCTTCTGAGAGCGAAGCACTCGGATGCACTCATGTACAGGCACCGGCTGCAGGATTGCACAGTTCCGGAGTTAGGGTTTAACGTAGGATGTAGATGTGGTGGTCGCCGACATATTGCGGGCCTTGTATTCTGAAGCTTGCGGCGCTCGATCCCAATGGAGGTGTCGCCCTGCACCCCCGAGAATGCAAACGCACACGACAAAAGATAACTTCGTGCATGACGAGTGCAATCGGCAAGTTTGTGCGTTTGTGCATCCAAAACCGCCTCTACTTGTAGCACGCGGACAGGTATGCAAGCACACGATGCTCGCCAACTGTTGAAACACCTGGAATGTCCAGCTGAAGGCTCCTACACCGAAGAGGCTCGATGCCACGCACAGAAACGTGATACGAGCCGCGAACCTTGCACAGATTCTCAGATGCCAACAGGAGCAGCAGTCCGATTGGTTTTGCGACTTCGTGCGGAGCCTGAGGCCAGACTGTCGTGCCTGCATTGCGAAACAAGCAAGCCGAAGCCTTCAAACAACAGGGGACCTGTTACGGAGTCCAGCTGGCTTTCAGTTCGGCGGTGTCGAAGCGAAGCCTACATCACCGGAGATCGGGTTGAAATGAAGCCGGCCTAGCAGCCTCCATGCCCACGGTCACCACCGGGGAACGAACCACGCATCCAACGGCGACTCTCTCTGACAGGCTGCTGGTTTCTTCGGCTTGACACTAAGACTTGCCTTGGAACAGCATGCTCCGATGAGTCGCAGACTGAAGCGAGGTGTCACCCAAAGGAGTGCGCTGCCTCCTCGGTTCTCCAATACCTCCGAAGATGAGAGAAGTCTGCTTTTGTGCGGTTTCTTTGTTGGTTTTCGCCTGAGGTCGTGGGCACCTGGTCGCCGCTTTTCCCGGGTCCTTGCTGCAAGAGCCGGGCTCCGAGTGCCGGTGCGGCAGGCGGTACGGGCTTTGCGAGGCGCTCCCGCGGCCAATGCGTTAACCGGCGCATATCCGTCCGTGCCGGTGCCGGCGCTACACCGCCACGCGGCGCCGCCTAGCCGAGGTTCTACACCACGGATGGAAGTGGCACCTGTGTGGCCCAGGCGCAAACGAACACGAGCTCGAGGCAGCTAGACCGGACCGGAAGCCTTCTCAGGATGTTTACCAGGGGCTTGGCTGCGCAACCCGGGCGGACACGTCCTCCATCGCGGCCGGGTTGGCCAGTTCGAGGCAGAGGAGCCAGGATGCATCACGATGCATCCTCTTCTGCCAGGAACTCCTGGGAGCGGACTCGGAGGAGCCTGTGGAGTTGGAGGCGATCGAGGCCGCGGAGAGCCGATGTGGGCCTTCCCTGAAATGGAAGCTGCCACGGCAAGGCCAGCTGTGCGGCGGCAGAGTTCTTTGTCTGGCGTCGTGATGAGGTGAGGGCCCTCTACAGTAGAGTCCAGCGACCAGCGCGTTCGCTTTCGGCAAGGTGGTGCTGGGATGCGGGCAGCTCGTGGCGCACTCGGTGCAGGAGTCGGGCAAGGTGGGCCAGGAAAGATCGCTGCTGCCAGTCGCAGTAGTCACCGCTCCACATCCACCAGCGTACGCAGTAGTGCGCTCGGGGGTTGCATCGTTCACAGACTCATACGCCCTCTCTCTTTTGCGTGGTTAGTTTTTTTGGTGCTCGCTAGGTGCAGTAGCTATCACTTCAACTTGATCTTTTCGAACCGGAGGTGGTCGCTGAGTTGAGACACTTGTCCTGTGCCTTGGGAGCCAGGGCCTCGGCTTTGGGCCTTGGTCACAAAAGCACTCCTTGCAGTGTACTTGGTGAGACCTTCGTGGCCAACGCCCCCGCGCTCTTCGCATATGCAGAGCGAGCCGCCGTTCTCGGCGGCGCGCCGCTGATGGCCGTGAGGCGGTCGCAGGCTTGGGCTGTCGAGTCGTTGCTCTCTCTTGCTCGCTCGCTTTCTCTCTCTCTCTCTCTCCCCCTCTGTTTGGAACTGTCGGAAGAACATGTGGAGTACTGCGTGCTTTACTTGCTGCGAAGATGCATCGTGCCGTGTTTCTGGCACGGGCACAGCAGTTTTTCCGGTACGTTTGGTTTCGTCTAGCTGTTATTGCCGGTATGCTCGCTGCCACATGAGCATTTTAGCAGCTGCACCTCTTGCGGGCAGCTGTTATAAGAACGTGTGGAATACTGCGGGCCTCACTTGCTGCGAAGATGCATCGTGCCGTGCTCCCGGCACGGTGTATATTGCGCAAGTCCAGCTTGCACAGCAGTTTATCCGGTACGTTTGGTTTCGTCTAGCT